ACGAACAAACGAAGCTTTAAGCATGAAAAATCGAATTTGCCTACTGAGGTCATTTGGAATTTGATATGCCACACTTCAATTTATTCATCCATCCATTTCTCTCTCTCTTTATTTCTCTCTCTCTCTCTTTATCTCTCTCTCTCTCTCTCTCTCTCTCTTTTTATACTTTAACAGTTTTTGTTAGTTTCAATAATTTTTGTTTCTTTATATTTCTCTTCCTGTCTTTCTTTCTCTCTCTCTCTCTTTCTCTCTCTCTCTCTCTCTCTCTTTCTCTCTCTCTTTCTCTCTCTTTCTCTCTCTTTCTCTCTTACGTTCACCTTTTATTCATCCTTTCTGCCTTTCTGATTCAGTAACATTCATCTTACTTTTTGTCCTATCTTTTTTACCGTGATTGTTAATTTTTCAGTCTTTTAAGCTGAATGTATTAACCAATCTGTCTGTTTCGCGTTCTTGCCAGTTTTACATACTTTACGAAAACGCTTGTTTGTTCTTTAAGATTTGAGATACAATCGATATATATTTGTTAATACATTATATTCTGTAATAAATAAATAAACAAACAAACAGACAGACAGACAAACAAACAAACAAACAAACAAACAAACAAACCAACAAACAAACAAAAAAATCAATAAATAAATATACAAATGAGTGAATTAATAAATAGATTATAAAAATGAAGTAAGCTACTAATCATGAAATCACTGTAGTAGCGTCTTAAACCACGTCGACAATCAAATAAAAAAAAATTAATACCATCATCAAGTCGTTGTTTAAAAATGTCTAATTGATGTTTTTGTTGGAGATTCACGTGAAAAATAATAAAAGAAAGATTTATATATATATATATATATAGAGAGAGAGAGAGAGAGAGAGAGAGAAAGAGAGAGGGTAATCATAGGGCAATAATAATGAAAGTAAAATATAAAAATAACATCCATGATAACAATGGCAATAACAATAAATAAATCCACACCACCAGCCATTAATACACAATCGATGACAGCTGAAACTGCAGAATATAAACAAATTATAAAGTTGCCCGCATGTGCCTGATGTATGTGATTGCTTGTTTGCTTGTCCGTGTGTTTGTTTGTTTGTTTGTGTGTTTGTATGTTTGTGTGCATATATGTGTATGTGTTTAAAGGTGTGTGTGTATGTTTTTATGTAATATATGCATGCTTTGATTTTGTTTGCTCGTGTTTCAATAACTTTTACTAATTAGATGATGGTTGAGTTGTGTTTGGAGCTGTTTATGTTTGTACCATATGTGATTGTGTAAAATTTTGTGTTTTGTGAATCTATCTATCAAAATGGCTTAGCCACTTAGGAAATATTTGAAAGAGTTTAACATGAGTTTTAGGTGATGAGTCTTTTCGTCTCTTTTAAGAATTGTATATTAAGTGTGTATGTAATTGTGCTTGTGTGTTTATGTGTGTGTTTGTGTGCGCGTGTGTAGTGTGTGTGTGTGCGTGAATGTGTGTTTAGAGTTTTTTAGTTAGTGGGTCTACGTGTTTTCAATTAAAAAATCTAGGGTTGCGTGTGTTTATGTTATGCTCATTAAACGCTTGAAGATGGTGATGTTGTGATGTGATGATGAAGATGATGATTTTGGTGATGATGGTGGTTGTGGTGGTGATGGTTTAATGATGCCGATGAAATAAGGGTGATGGTTGTGTGGTAAAGATTATAGTGACAGCAATTAACGTGATGATGAAGAGAACGACGATGTGGATGAATTTGAGGATGACGAAGTGATGATGAATATGATTACAACGAATGCAAAAGTGTTTAGGAAAATGACGATGACGATGATGTTAACGTTGATGAAGTTATGTTATGAAGATGACGTGATGATTGCATGACGAGGAAAAAAGAAAAGAAGAAAAAGAGAAGAAGCAGATGATGATGATGATGATGATGATGATGATGATGATTATGACTGAAAAAGTGATTAAGCTCGTGGAGCATTAGTTATAATTGTGATGTTTTTGTTATGTAGCTAGTAATGATGATGATGATGACTATGACGATGATGATTGTGATGTGACGACGATGATGACAACGATTATGGCGAGTACGATGATGATGAAATTATCAACGACGAACTTTAATGACTGGCTAGATAATATTAATCCGAGTTACTGATAACATTAGCAACCTGATGAAATTGATAAGAATGCTTATTATGGTGAAAAAAAGATAACATTTTTAATGTAATGTAATTTAATCAATGTTTGCGCTATAAAAATTGGGAAAATTAGTTTGCAACGGCCATCATTGAACAGCAAGAAAACTCACAAACCTTCGAAAAAATGAACAACTAACTTATGAACGCAAACACATACAAGATCATAAACATCAACAGAGGAATTATAAAGCCCAAGACACGAACACGCAGACTGAGTAGGCCAAGCCATCTAACGAACAAAATGAACAAATGTGCCTTCATTTAGTCGTAATGACGTATTTGTGACGTGAGCATGTTTTCAGCCGTCTGCAAGTCAGCTGATATGAACCAGTTCTTCTAATAAAGACGACGACGCTGCTGATAGAGACAACGAGGGTGACGTGAATTCGGATGATGATAAAATGATAACAATATTCATAAGAATAAGGATGACGACGATGACAATGATGATGGTGACGATGACGCCGACGATGATAATGAACTCTAGAGTGAAGTTGACGATGATGATGAAGATGGTGGTAATTAAGACAATGATATTGAATATGGAGAAGAGGATGATGATGACGATGCAATAACTGATGATGATGTAACAATTGATGATGATGATGATGATGGGGATGGCGTCAGAGATGATGTTTGCCTGAGAATGTGTGTTCTCTACAATTAATAACATCAGCAAACAAAGCTGATGAAAGCATTTTTCTTGTTGCAGTACAGAGTCATTGTCTTTTTTTCGTTCATCTTTCCATCAACGAGAATGAATAAACGAACGAGCGAATGAATAAATGAAAGAACAAATAAATGAACTCAAATGAACGAACGAAGGCAAACGAATGAACCAATGAACGACCAAATAATCCGTGATTGAATAAATGAATGAACAGTTTATTCTCATTAACTTTTCATGTCTGCTAATTTACTAACACAAAAAAAATTATTTATTTTCAAAGTTGACAATTTGATTCTGATTTCTAAGGCAAAAAAATCTGAACAATAAGAAACAACACGCACAAATCAAGTGGCACCTACAATTAGATGTTAGAAATTAAATCGCATTAATTCTCATACCACTGGGGTCGATTGTATATTTTTTAATTAAATCTTTTTTATGATTTTTTTATGTTTATTTTTTTTTTTTCAGTTGCCAGCGGAAAAATGTAATGAAGTTTGGCATTGCTAACGGCTTTATTTACGATTTCATTACAAGAAAAAAAGAAGAAAAACACGAAGAAAAAGTTTTTGCATTCATTTTTCTTTTTGTTTTTTGTCTTTTAGGAAAGTATGTTTTTGAGATTTTTTTCAATTTTTTTGACGTGATTTTTATTATATGTGAGTTGATGTTGATTATGAGATTTTTCATCAATTATAATGACAAAAACTTCGATAATAATACCACGATGACAGATCTCAATAGTAACAAAATTGAAAATAATCATTATCATAATAAAAATAACAATAATAATAATAATAATATTAAAAATAACAAAAAAAAAATAATAGATGGAAATCTCATCAATCGACACATTTTCGCTGTAAACCTTAAACCTCCAACACAACTTTGAAACGTAATACCTTCCTTCTCTCTCCATTCTAGTTTTATTCCCTCTTCTCTCCCTCTCTCTCTCTCTCTCTCTCTCTCTCTCTCTCTCTTTCCCCCCTCTCTCTTTCTTTTTTTTTTCTTTTCCTTTTTTCTTTCTGTCTGTCTCTCTCCCTCTCTGTCTTACTTCTCATCATCTTTTCAATTTAATTGTCTCTTCATTTTCTACTTTTTTTCTTTCTTCTCTCTCTTTTTTGTTTATCTCTCTCTCTCTTTCTCCGTCTCCATCTTTTCTATTCATCGCTGCATAAAAAACGCGTGCACAAACAGACAGACAGAGGCACAAATGTACACACAAACATGAACATACAATCACATGCGAAGAGCTAGCAAGTGTACACGCTTAAGCAAGCACGTAATTATATACATGCATGTCAGCTGCTTATTGGCGTGTGTGTGTGTGCGTGTTTGTATGTGTAAATTTGTTTTTATATATTAATAATTATTCATAATTCATGTACGTCATCTTAAACAAAAAATGAATATATTAGTTTTTAAGATAAACGAACACAGTAAATGTGTGTGTGTATAACTGTGATTTCATCATCATCAATATCGCTGTTGCTATCATCATCATCATCGTCATCGTCATCATCATCATCATATCATCATCATAATCATCATCATCATCACCACCATCATCATCATGACCATCATCACAACCATCATCATCATTCACTTCCTCGTCGTCATCATCATCTTCTTCTTCCTCATCATCATCATCTCCATCATGTGTTTGTTTTGCAGAGAGATAAGATCAACATCTAGGGTAATATAAACACTGTTTAATCAGATAAACATACAATAAATAAACATACAAAATGAATAAACATGTTTCTCTTTCCAATGTTTGCTGCTGCCTTGTTATGTTATATGCATGCACGTGCGAGTGTTGAAATTTACAATTGTTTAAAAATGCACGAATTTTTATTTTTATGTACGTTTCTATATATTATGTAAATGTATGTTTGTATGAAAATGCGTGCGTGTGTGTATGTGTGTGTTTGTTTGTGTGTGTGTGTGTACAATTGTTCATGATTATGTATTCATTTGAATTTGTTGGTTGTATGTGCGTTAGAGTTTTAGAAACGCAGTCTGCGTATATTCATAACCCGCTGAATCTTTAGTAAATCTCTTTGGCAATCCCAGCCTGAAAATTTTACTTAGCAAAAAGTGAAAAAAATTCACTAGCCGAAAATCACATAAAATGCAATGAAATTGCGAAGAAATACACCGTCAAAGATAAAACAAATCATACTCAAAAAGTTAGTTTACAATCAAGCGGAACTATACAGAAATCAACAACAACAACAACAACATACATGATGTTTGAAGCACTGACCAACCAACCAGCTAGCACGAGCATATGGTCATCCCAACTATTACTCTTCCATTTAAAAATCGCCACGTTGTTTTATGATTCCTTTGAGTATTCATATTCATTTAATTACGTTAACATTTGGTACTTGCATACACGCAACCATGCATACGCATACATTCATATTTAAATTAATACATGCAAACAATCTTTCAGGCAAACAAACAAACAAAATAGAGCCAATATTTAGACATACAAAACATGCACATCAGGTTAAAAATCGTCAACATAAGCACGTAGAGACGATTTTAAACCAACGTAAACAAGCCTTCAAACGCACCTACAAACACAGTGATATGACGAATACATGTACAAACAGATATAAATATGTAAACATATGTGCGTGCGTGCGTGCGTGTGTGTACGTGTTAATTGTTATAAATAATTAGAGCAATTGTTATCATTTGTTTCATGTATGCATTCATTTCATACATACATTGCTTGCATACTTTCCTAAACAACATCCCAACAGATAAAAATGTACAATATACATGTGTACACATTATTTCAGCATATAACAATGTATATTAGGGTGATGTTATTGCATATAAACAACAAAACTTAACTGATTTGTATTAAGTGTTTAGGTAATTTGGTTTGCATACATACAAAGTAATGTGCAATTTGTGGGTATTTCGTATTGCATAGATACAACCAAACAAAATTGTTTTGTATACAAAATGGAATAGAAAAACACATGAATACCTTAAATGGAGAGAGAAAATTTATTGTTTTCATTAGCCAGCCGCAGGACTAACAATTGAAATTAGACCAATTTGCAAGCGTTCAACCCTTTCAGGAAAAAATTTCTTTGTATCTTGGCACTATGATCTACGCGCTATTGTTGGAATGCTTTGTGTGTACGGTGTGAGTGTGTGTGTGTGTGTGTGTGCGTGCATACACGCACGTGAGCTTTATGAATAGTTATTCATGGTTCTGCGTCGCCGTAACGTAATATTGTATAATGATAATAAATAATCTTGCAAAATTTTATTGTTGTGTGAGTTTATGAGAGGCCAGTGGATAAAGCTTTTCTTTTTTTTACATTCTTTTTCTTCTTTCTTTTCTTTATCATTCGCTTCCATTCTCTCTCTCTCTCTCTCTCTCTCTCTCTCTCATTTTTCTCCACATTATTTTTACAAAAAAAAAAACACACACATAATTATGCATGCAGGCACGCACACGTACATGCGCACGCACACACACACACACACACACAGCACACACACTCGTACATGGACATAGAAACATACATATGCAACTAATTTGAACGAGTTAATACTCACGCAGGAGACATAAAGATGCATGGGCAATGCCCGGTTGAATGAATTCTTCTTACTCACTCACTCACTCACTCACTCACTCACTCACTCACTCACTCACTCACTCACTCACTCACTCACTCACTCACTCACTCACTCACTCACTCTTTCATTCATACGTTCGTTCATTTATTTGTTTATATACACTTTCTTTCTTTTTATTCATGATCTTATTCATCATTAACGTTATCGCCACCACCATCATCGTCTTCATCATCACCGTCCTCATCATCATCATCATCATCATCGTCACCATCATCAACATTGCAATCATCTCAACCATTCAGAAATAAATTTTCCTGTAGTCCCTTTCAGAAACGACCAATTTGGTGATGATGATGATGATTGTGTGAATGATGATGGTTATGATACTTGTAGGGGTGATGACGATGATTGTGAAATAGAAGAAGAAGAAGAAGAAGAAAAAGAAAAAGAAGAAAAAGAAAAAGAAGAAGAAGAAAATGAAGAAGAAGAAGAAGAAAATGAAGAAGAGAAGAAGAAGAAGAAGAAGAAGAAGAAGAAGAAGAAGAAAAAGAAGAAGAGAATGAAGAAGAAAAAAATGTTGATGATGATAGCCACAACATCAGTATCATAACAATGATGAAAATATTGACAAGTCAGATGAACACAATGATGACGTGATTGAGTGAAAGAAACAGCGCTTCAGAATCGAGAAGAAGATGGCTATTACAATGATGATAATTATGATAATCATAGTGACGTAATTTCATCCTTCATAATTTTAAACAGCACACAAATGTGATGTTGAATGAAATGAAAAGATGTTGATGATGATGACGACGATGAAAAATGGGATGATGACGACGAAGACGATGACGTATACGATGATGACGATGATAATGATAATGTTGATGAAGATGATGATGACGATGATGATGACGATGATGATGGTGATAACTGAGATGATGATGATGATGATTGTCATCATCGGCGTCCTATAATTTTTACAACAACAGCTTCGTTTATTGGCCAGCAAACAGCACTTTAATGATGATTCCAGGCTTTCCGAATATCGAGCGGCCATTTTGATTCTATCCTCCCAAATCTCCTCAACCATTTCCGCTATTTTCAAATCGTCCGCCCAATCGTTTGAGTGTTTGAGTTCGGTGACGCCATAGATGATAACGATGACGATGATTCTGTTGTTGTCGTTGCCAATGATGTTGTTGGTGATGGTGATGATGTAAAACTAAAACTGATGTTGTTGACATAGCGAAATTGCGGTAATAGTTGATGTATTGGTAATAGTAGTAGTAGTCGTAGTAGTAGTAGTAGTAGTCGTAGTAGTAGTAGTAGTAGCAGTAGTAGTCGTAGTAGTAGAAGCAGCTTTAGTAGTAGTAGTAGAATTAACAGCAGCAGTAGTATTAGTAGAAAATAGAAACGTCGTAATTGTTGTTGATGTTTTATTGAAGTAGTCAAAGATGACGACGAAGACGATGATGACGACGACGATGATGGCGTGGTTGGCGATGCGATCGAACACGGCAGGATGACTTTTATTATACACATTGGCGTTGGTGTTCGTTACGCTGGCCAGGCAGGCAGAGTAGAGCGTTCGATAATTTTCAAATTAACGACTCTTCGACATTGTACGTTTAAACTTTTATTTGCATGCGAGAAAGTTAGAAAAACTGAAAAAGACTGGAAGAAATTGGCGGGTGATTACATACGCTACATTTAGAAATGATTGACAGAAAGTAAGTGAGAGAGGAGAGTGATAAAAGAGAGAAAAAAAGAAAGAAAGAAAGAGAGAAGGAAAGTGATGTGAAGAAAGATTATGTTTGCTACTATTAGCGATCTGTTAATTATAGCCACCGCTGCAGTTGTCGGCAGGCAACAGCAACGACAGCAGCGTCAGCAACGGCAAAAACCACTACAACGACTACAGTGCTGGCTATAATAATCTGCTTAAAAATGGCTTACATAATCAATGCTCATGAAACTCTAATCCAGGTTCATCCGTCTGAATGCTGATAATAATGGGAAATAAAGGGATTGATAAAAAAAAAAGAAAAAAATAAATTTGATGGGAAAAATATTTTTTCGTTTTAAATTTACACAAATGTTCATTATTGTAATTACTAAAGAAATAAGCACAACAAAATGCTCATGCCAAAATGATAACAACAACAACTACTACTACTACTAATACTACAGCTACAACGACAACTACTCTACTACTATTACTGCTACTGCTAATACAACTACTGTTACCACCACCAACAACAATTTTAGCAGCATGACAACAATAACAGCAACGACGACAACAATAATTTTAATAATGAAACAACATCAATAACAAAATAACAACAGCTTCAAATGATGAATGAGAATTTTTCACGCATTGTTGATCACATGTTAACACGTTCACCTTCAAGTACGTGTGTTCGTATGTTTGTACGAGTTTGTATGTTTCTGTTTGGACGGACACTGTTTGTCTGTCTGTCTGGCTTTTTTCATCTGTCTGTGTTTGTCTTTGTGCCCAAATTCATGTGCGTCTAGATAGTTGTAGGTTTTTGTTAGTCTGTTTGTCCCACTGTATTTTTGTGTAAATAATTGTATTTCTGCGTCTGCCTAACTGTTTGTCTTTGTCTCTGTCTATATAACAGTATGTCTATGTTTGTCTGCCTATTTTCATGTATCTGTCTGTAATTGTTGTATATAACTCTCTAGGTGTGAATTTTCAGACTGATCTGTAGTCAGACTGTTTCAGCGTTTGCATTGTTTTGCATGTATATTTGAATTTAAAATGTGGTTCGTGTATGCATTGAGTTGTTCTATATGCGCGGTAAGTGTGTGTTTTTTAATGTGAAACTTTGAGCCAGACATGTGCATTTGATGTGTTGATGTGTTTTTTATGATACAGTATTTATTTTCAAATGTAAAACTGTGTGTGTGTGTGTTTGTGGTTATATAACTTTCTATATTTAAAAAATGCTGATAACTTTTTTTCTGACTTTATTGGAAGTTTTTTTGTTTTTTTTTACAAAATTCTTATGAAACCATTATTAAACCATTGTTTGAATTGTTGTTCAATTTTGCGTCATTACCTATACCTGATTGCGACTACAAGCAAACATTTACACTGACCTTTTTGAATTTTCATAAGATTATAAAAAAAACTTTGGTATTATTGAATTAACTCTTAGGCCTTTCCAGACACAATACTAATCAATGGACACTCATAGACGAAGGAAAAATTAATTTACCGGGCGATAAATTGAAAACGTTGTCGAACATCTGCCTGGCATGCAATCCTTCAATATCTCCTTCTCGACACCATGATGAATTAAAATTCAATACTTGTGCTTCGAAAGTTCAAAACAACGATGACTTTTTCTTATTTGCAGTTTGCGTGCCAGGCATCATGGCGCTCTGCTGGTGCGTGGTGTGGTTATTTCTGTATCTTCGCAATGGTTTGTACCACACACAGACACAGACATGCACACAGACACACAAGAACACACACACGGACGCGCACACACACAGACACGCACATTTGTATATTCACGTATACACACAACACACAAATACATACATTTCTACAGAGACACGATTCGTACTCACACACCAATACACAGGCACACAGACACGTGCATGAAAAAGCACGCAAATATAAATCACTTAATAGATATTTATAGACAGGTACGCTACGCATATTATTATGATGATGAACGCTGGGTAGAAAAGAAATTTTTTATTTCTATTTTTAATTCGATTGTTTTATTTCGTTACTTATTTGTCATTATTGTTTACTTACTATTCTGTTTATTTGTTTGTCATTTATTTATTTACGCAAACCATGTAAGATACCTACATAAAACGCTTTTTTTTTGTTTGTTTGCATATATTTCTGTATGTATGTTTGTATATTATTTACTATGTTTTTGTTTGTTTTGTATACATGTATGTTAGAATACCACATTTTATGAAAGTTTGTATACTAATAAGTTAATAAGTTTGTGAATGATTTGTATGTTTATTCGTATATCACTTAGAGTATGTGTTTGTTTGTTTGTACGTTTATGTTTTATATGTGTTATGTTTGATTAGTCTGTATAATGGTTAATCACTCTGTGTCTCAAGGATTAAATGCTTGTATTTCTACGTTAACTTTTGTGTTTGTGTGAGGTGTGGTTAGTTGTGTGTTTGTTTGTGTGTTTCTAAATGTTTGTTTGTGGGTGTGTCTCTAAGTGTTTGTTTGTGTGTGTGCGTCTCTAAGTGTTTGTCTGTTTGTGTGTCTCTAAGTGTACCTGATAAATTTATGCAAATATGTGTGCGTGTGTTCGTTTAAGGTGGATTTTATTTTGCATTTGAAAAATTCATCTCGAGTGCATTAATGGAAATTATTGCTTGAAACTTTCAGTATTTCTGATAAGCTATTGATATTTAGGATGATAACGATGATGATGACGATGGTGATGATTATGGTGTTTGTGATGGTGGGGGGGGGCAATGGTGGCAATTGAATTGAATTTTGAATTCATATAGCACCAATTATAACTTCTTCTCATCAGCACACTCCTTGTTGAAATTGCTAATAGCTAAGAGATAGCATGTTGTAAGCGAAGCTATCATCTAGGATCATGACCACTAACAATTACCCGATAGGTATGACTTTAGACATTTTCTAAACGCAGCTTATGATAACCCAGATAAATATAATTCGATGAAGATGATTGTAACGGTGTTTGTGTAAACATTACTGCTTTTTGAAAATTTTCAATTGTATAAAAAAACTATTAAAATTGAAATTAATAACAAAGCAAGGAAAAGCTCCAAATGAATGATATTAATAATTATATTTTTTGTATGATGAAATTAACAAATATATCAAAAACAGCAATCATAAATAATGTTAATAATAATAATAATAATAATAATAATAATAAAATACATAATAAACAAAATGACAGACGACTAACTTAATCTTGACCTTATGCTCCTGACAGCAAGTTTCAATTTTGTTCCGTCTTTCAAATCTTTTATCATTTACTTCGTCAAATTAGTAAGCGCTACAAAAATTAATATTTTTTAATTATTTAAAGATTTTTCAACAAAATGTATAGTTTTTAATATTGATCCTCCAATAAATGACACTCAAAAAAAAATTATCTCAGGTTTCAAAAACAAATACAAAAACTATTAGAATTGAAATTACTAAAAATGTTACCAAACATAAAAAAAACTAAAAAAAACCAAACATTTCAAATTATTTTCAACTTAAAACTTATTAAAAACTAATACAAATCATTGCAGAAAAACCAAAGTAAAGTGGGCAGGCGCAATCCTATAAAATAAAAAAATATTTTTATGTACCGTGGCTTATTCCCAAAAAAACTTTACAGTTTAACAAACAAGAAAAAAAAATTAAAAAACGAAAAAAAACAAAAAGACAAAATGGAAAATTTACACAGAAGGACAAACAAATTAACTTGGGTATGCCAGGATGAGTCTACAATTAACAGGCACTAGATTTACACGGTTTCCTTGCGTGGCATTTTCTCCATGAAATAAATTTAAACACTTTTTTCCCTGTTTTTTTTTCTACAATCTTTCATTTGTTTTTTTGTTTTCATCTAACCATTTTAAGATTTTCCTTCTTAACGTTAAATTTAAAATTCAACCACAAAGTTATTTACTCAAGATATATTTTTAATGAATTTTTTTTCATCGTATGTTTATTTCACAGCACATTTCTAAAAACAAAGAGTCTAAAAACCATCTTCAATTATCATTCGCAACTGAATAAGAAAAATAGAAAGAAAAAGAAAGAGGGAAAAAAAGAGAGAGAAAGAGAAAGAGACAAAAAGACAAAGACAAAGAGATAAAGAGAAAGAGAGAGAAAGAAAGAATGAAAGAAAAAGAGAGAGGTAGTTTCACCTGTACAAAATTAGAGTGAACAATAATTTGTTTTCAACAATGAAAAATCACAACGCGTTTCTCCACGGCATGAATTTTTGATTAGTGTATGCGTGCACGCTCATGCATACGATGGTCTGTTTACGTTCGTTTAATTGATTTTTTATGACGTTAATTAATGTTTGTTTTTGTTTGGAAATGATAATACTACGTCACTTCAATTATTAACTAATTAATTGCTTAATTAATTAATTAAAGTTAACAATGTATTGGTAAATAAAACCTTGTCACCATCTCAACATTCTTGAAATAATCATCACAATCAGTATCACATTGATTAGAAAACATTTTCATCGGCATAAACAACATCATCGTTACAAAAATCTACATCATCATCATCATCATCATCATCTTCATCATCGTCATCATCATCATGTCATCATTTCAATTTCACCAACGTTTCCAGCCAGCCAACCCGTTGTTATTTCCTCCGCCACATTAATACCACTATAAAACATCGATTTTCAGGATAATTCTACAGACGTTAAAAAAGCATGTTGTGATTCGCTTTTTTATTTCTTTTTTCTTAATATTATTTTTTTTTCATTTTTTCTATTTTACTTTGTTGTCTCTCTCTCTCTCTCTCTCTCTCTCTCTCTTTCCTTTTCTCTCTCTCTCTCTCTGCTTTTTTTCTCTGCTCTTTTCTCATTTTCAGCCTTCCTCTTTTAATCGCTTTCACTCTATCACATGTTTTACTTTTTCACTTTCTCTTACTCTTTCTTCCTACTCTCTTTCCTCATTTTCTCTCTTCCTCTCTTTCATTTCTTCTCCCTGCCAGCCAGTCTACCGATCCTCACGTTCCCATGAGTGCACAAAACATACATGCATCAATGAGCCTCAGTAATGAACAGTTGAATAAGCCTTTATCTCTTTTCTCTCCTTCCTCTACTCCTTCCTTCTATCTCACTTTCTTTCTATTAAGAGTTTTTCTTTCGTTTTCTGGTATTCCGTTTCTCTTTTCTTTTTTCTCTCCTTTTCTCTCTATCATTTTTTTCTCTTACTTTCATGTTATCTCTTT